AAGTCCTATGCCTTTGCTAGTCCCTAAGACAAAAAAAGTAATAGAAAGATATAGAGAGAGGGAGCACACGGAAGAATTTTTTTTTTTTTTTTTTTTTTTTTTTTTTTGCCTTGGTTTAATGTCTGATGGTCCAGGAATTCACTTCAAGTAAAATAATGGAGCTAAACTGATACAGGTATGGTTTTCCAGTAGTATTTCAGAAAAAGGTAGCTAGGTGAGTAAAACTACTTCGGAGTGTGAATCCCAGAACTCAAACTGCTATTGATTATCCTTATGAAGATTTGAAACGGCTCAGAGTAAAAACAGGAACAGGGTCTAATATTTATTGTGCAATTATTACATGTCAGGCATGCTCATATTACTCATATAATTCTTACAGCATCTAGAGCTGACAGAAGTTTTACTTTCTCCAGGTTACCCTGTAGGTAGCTGAGCCAAGATTTGCATGCCTCAGCCTGTGTTCTTCACACTATTAACCTACTTTGCAGGCTTTCTCAGATTTCTCATCTGTCTTTCCTGTTCTTGTCTCTGTATCCTGCTCAAGTAGTGAAGAGACAAAGCAGCCTTCCTGGATTGATGCAGCGCTCCAAGGAAAGCAAAGATGTTCTTGTTGAGATTGTGCTGAATGGCTTAATCATATATATATATATATATATATATATACACATATATATGTATATATATACACATATGTGTGTATATATATACACATATATATACATATATATATGTGTGTGTGTGTGTGTGTGTATACATATATATATATATATTTGACAACTATAAAGGTAGAGCTTGGACCAGAATCCAGGTGTCCTGACCCCCAGTCATAATTCCTTGTTAATATTACCAATTACGAATAATTTTTTTCTTTTTTGAGACAGAGTCTCACTCTGTCACCAGGCTGGAGTGCAGTGGCGCGACCTCGGCTCACTGCAACCTCCACCTCCCGGGTTCAAGCAATTCTCCTGCCTCAGCCTCCCGAGTAGCTGGGACTACAGGCGTGCGCCACTATGCCCAGCTAATTTTTTGTATTTTTAGTAGAGACGGGGTTTCACCGTGTTGACCACGATGGTCTCGATCTCTTGACCTCGTGATCCGCCCGCCTCGGCCTCCCAAAGTGCTGGGATTACAGGGGTGAGCCATAGCGCCCGGCCACGAATAATTTTTTTTTTTTTTTTTTGAGACGGGAGTTTCGCTTTGTCACCCAGGCTGGAGGGCAATGGTGCGATCGATGTCGGCTCACTGCAACCTCCCCCTCCTGGGTTCAAGCGATTCTCCTGCCTCAGCCTCCCAAGTAGCTGGGATTACAGGCGCCCGCCACCACGCCCGGCTAATTTTTGTATATTTAGTAGAGACAGGGTTTCACCATGTTGATTAAGCTGGTCTGGAACTCCTGACCTCAGGTGATCCATCCGCCTCGGCCTCCCAAAGGGATTACAGGCGTGAGCCACCGCCCCCCGCCGCCGCCCCTTAAGAAGTCTTCACATTCCCCCTTGAGGAATTGCTGGGGTCCATTTCTGGAGCCTCGTCAGAAGCATTCTGTCCCTTTTCTTTTTTCTTTTTTAAAATTATTTTTCCTGTAGGAAGCAAGATCCCATCTGTCCCTTCTTTAGGCAATGAGGCTTTTTTCACCTTTGCACAAAAGAATAGCTGAGCCCCCTTTTTAAATTTTCTTCTTTTGTCCTTACCATCCCTTCAGGCTAGAATAGGATTCTCATAGCACGGGGCTTGGGCCACAAGAATCCATGATGAAGAAACGGTGAAGGTCCTGAGCTGAAACAACTACCTTGGGGCATTCAAGGAACAGCAAACAGCAAGCCGGCCGGCAGGGGTGGCGGAAACCCGGCTGGAGATCAGGTGGGAGAGCTGGCCAGAATCCTGCAGGCGCGGAAGGCAGGTAGACTGGAATGCGCTGGGGGCTTTTCCCTGGGCGATGCTTCAGCACCCGGCAGCCGGGTCCCACCACGTCCCCACTCACTTGGAGAAGGCGGAGGCTGCACAGAGGCGGTGAGTAGTCGAGAAGGGATGATTTTCAAGACATACCTTCTCTTTGCTCTTCCCCTACTTCCAATTCTGCCTTGTCTTTTTCTTTGTTGTGGGTGCTGCCGAGGGAAAGCAGGCGAGGAAGTTGTTCCCAAGAAGGGAATGCTTTCCCTCGGGCGCCAAGAGGCACTGACGGGGCTCTCAGCGCCCTCTGAGAAATAGGTAAGACTTTGGCCCAAGGCCAGGAAGATGTCCTCAAATGTGGGCCGAAAGACTTGACAATGCAGGGTCTCCCTCTTTTAAAAATACCCATATAATCAAAACCTTGGTGGACCGGCCCGCTCCGGCCCCCAGACCTCCACAGATGCGCCCCCCGGCTGCAGCCCCGAAGTCCTCTTCTTAGATCTCCGCCCTGACTCTCGCTCACTCTCCTCTCGTCGCTTGCTCCGCCCGCTCCCACTCCCGGTCTCTGATTGCTCCTAACTCACGTCACTCCCGATCTGTCCCTGCCCACCCGGCGCTGCTATTGGCAGTCGGGCATGGGTACGCGGCGGCTGTGGGGGAGGGGGGAACGATGGGAGGGGGCGGGAGTTCCCGACTCTAGGCCGGAAGCGCGCGGAGACCATGTAGTGAGACCCTCGCGAGGTGAGTGCGGGCTCTTCGGGAGCGGGGTCCAGGTTGGCTGCCCAGGACTGCCTGGGCCTGGGAGCATGAGTCCCAGCTCACATATTCTTCATCTGGTTCCCGCGACGCTGGCGGCCTCGCACCCCGCCTCCTGGAGCCCGGACTTCCAGGCACCGCCCTCAGTGTCGCCTCAGTCCGTCCCGGGACTGCAGACTCTTAGGGCCCCTCTCCTCTGGCCATCTGCCTCTAGGTCCCAGCCTGGGGCCTGAAAGCTCTTGCCCTTTGAGCTGGGAAAAGGGGAACGCAGCACCCAAGCTCATCCTGTCCAGGTGGTTCACGAAGCTACCGTGACATCTCTCCACAGCCCCAGCCACTTTGGCTTCGCTCACTCCTTTCGGGAGTTGGGAGGCCTGGCCTCTGCATTCCTTAGGGGGACCCCGGCTCCAGGTCCTATTTGGAGGCGGATCCTAGTTTCCTAGTTCTCTGGGGGCACCAGGTGAAAGGGTAATGAGAGTGGATACACAGCCTTTCTCATGCCTCAGTTTCCCCCTTGCGGTCACCCTGAATAAGTCACTTGGGAAAGAAAGTCTGAGAAGAGAGGAATGTTCCTGGTACAGGAGTGAATGAGTCACTCTGGGTTGGGGGAGGTCAGAAAGTGCCTGGGGCCAGGGAACTGCACTCTGCTGACCAAGCTTCCCCATTCCTTGCCCCATCTTTCCGTCCATGATTTTTCCCCACCCACTCTGGTCTGTCTTCCTAGGTCTGAGAGTCACTGGAGCTACCAGAAGCACCATGGGGCCCTGGGGAGAGCCCGAACTCCTGGTGTGGCGCCCAGAGGCAGTAGCTTCAGAGCCTCCAGTGCTTGTAGGGCTGGAGGTGAAGTTGGGGGCCCTGGTGCTGCTGCTGGTGCTCACCCTTCTCTGCAGCCTGGTGCCCATCTGTGTGCTGCGCAGGCCAGGAGCTAGCCATGAAGGCTCGGGTAAGCCCTTCCTTTTCCCCATGCTGCTATGGACGCTTGGCTTAGGGGAGGCTGGGGCTAGGGGAGATACCAAAGGAGGAGGGAAAAGCAAGGGTAGCCATTGTTTGGGTTGGAGGGGTGGGCCCTGGAGAGGATTCGTTTGCTCATTCTCCTCTGTGCTTCACCCCTGCCCAGCTTCCCGCCAGAAAGCCCTGAGCTTAGTAAGCTGTTTTGCGGGGGGCGTCTTTTTGGCCACCTGTCTCCTGGACCTGCTGCCTGACTACCTGGCTGCTATAGATGAGGCCCTGGCAGCCTTGCACGTGACGGTGAGCACTGGCTTGGGCCTGTGACATGCAGGAGGGAAATCGCACACCTCTAGGAGTGTTGGTTTGTGGCGATCGATTCATGTGTCACTCCATGACTGTGTGGAAGGCTTTTGGCATGTGGGCCTATGAATTGTGATTTTGGTCACAGGGCATAATTCTTTCTGTGTGTTCCCTCCCCCCTCCCCATTCCTTTTGTGACTCCTACATGCCCTTTGAGACAGTAAGAAACTTTTTCTCAAGTGTGTGACTTACTCTGTGGGTTCTCAGTTCTAGCCACTGGAAAGTGCTCCGAGAATCATCTTCACTCTCTCACCACTTTCCTAAAGGGCTGGAGATAGAGGTCTCTGTAGGCCTGAAAAGGATACGAGGCGTTTTCCCTGGGGCCTGGTGTTGCTGACCTTTTTAGGCTTTGACCCAAGGAAATGGCTATGAAGAATGATCAAGTCCACGGCATAGGACTTGGATTATTACAGGACAAACAGACCGTTGGATAGTGGGGCAGGAAAGTCATCCTGGGCTCTTTCCTCTTTTTCCCCTAAAACCGAGGAAGTAACACTGGATGTAACCCTTTGTGTGTCTGTGACTGAGTGATCTGTGTCTCCATGTGACTGACTATGTATAAGCCCGAATGTCCTGTGATATGTGGCTCTATGTGTGAGTATTTGGAGAGATGGGCCAATGTGTGATGTTTTCATGTATGTCTACATCGGTGACTCTCAACTAGGAGTGTATCTTTGCGCCTCAAGAAGCATTTGGTAATGTCTGGGAATATTTTTAGTTGTCAAAACGGAGTGTGGGG